AGGGCACTAGTGAATTTGCCACAAAAAACCCATAGCTGTAGTCAGGGTAGGTAAGTGTAATTTGTCCATGTGACCAGTATTGATGGTGGATATGCTAAAATACATATACATGTAGAGTAGTGATGATACTAGCATTGAAACTGGAGAATGGGACGGTCAAGGGTGGACTGTGAGGAGACTAGCATTGAAACTGGAGAATGGGACGGTCAAGTGTGGACTGTGAGGAGACTAGCAACAGCAGTGAGGATGCACACATGCACATGCACTGCAGACTTGACCTTTTTACTGGCATTTCTTCGGTTCGTCCGGAATCAGAACGTTGGCTGGGGTGGTGCCAAGTAGCATGGAGTGGCGCTCGTACCACTTTGATTTACGGAAGCGACTGTCCGTGCCATACAGAAAATCAAAGATTCCTGCATAGCAGCAGCCAACATAAACAAAAAAATAATGTCAGTTTTTATTATTACACAGTAGGTATCGGTTATAGCGTGGGTGTTTGAAAAACGACTTTCTATTTTTATTTCCAATATTTATTACTCACGATATTGAAAATCAAGTGTGACATATCATGTGCATGTGCGCAGAGTCAGGAAGATCATCCTACATGCAATGTAGTGCTACTGTGCATGCGGCCGGTCATAGTTCCATAGCCTCATAGGCTTACCATTGTGGCTATGCAACATGAGTTACATGACCACAACAGTTGAATTTGCAGCACTACGTAGTCTACGACCCAACGCGAGTACGATCAGAACTGCATTGGACAGATGTTATTACTACAGGCGATATACTTTGTAATAATCTGGTATGTTTTGCTACACAAAGTCCATTTTTAGGACCGATATATTCGGCTGTCCGATAAAATTGCTTGTAAGAATAAATGTGCACTTGAAACCCATGTTATGACTATGAAAACATGAGAGTTCATTCTTGTAGGCAGTATATTCTTTTACACGACCACGCTATAACCCATACGCACTGTACGAGGTACGCAAACTCACCGGCAGGCACATGGGGCTAGCATGGAGTAAGCAGTGAGATGGTGCTGGTGAGGTCTGCCATGCTCAACTGACCAGAGGTCTCGGCATCATCGAATGGCAGACTCACCAAACTGAGGGCATTGTAGTGCATTGGATCAGAATCAGACAATACCTATAGGAACATTCATGGTCAGAAGAGACAACAACCATGACACTGGTATGCAAGTGAACTGCTGGAAACAGGGAGTATTTCTTTTCTGTTGTTGAGGGCAGGGACTGGGGGAGTAATACAGTCGTCACCAAAAAATTTCAGCCAATGCCATGAATACATGTTCAGAGGCATGGTGCCTGTCACAATCGCAATGCATTTACAGTCATTAGAGGGTCTACCAGCATAGTACTGAACTAAAACAGTCCACGGCTCTGCACTCTGCCTGCTGCAGTCGAGTTGAACACAGCACAGTCTGTGCACTGCAGAGTGCAGGTCCCGACGGCAGAGCATATGCCGTACTAGGCTAGTACAGCTACGGGTAGCTGTACTGTGCATGGGCAGCATGCACAGTACAGCTACCAGTAGCTGTACGGTGCATGGGTAGCATGCACCGTACAGCTACCGGTAGCTGTACTGTGCATGCTACCCATGCACAGTACAGCTACCGGTAGCAGTGGCAGTGCATGCTGCCCATGCACAGTACAGCTACCCGTAGCTGTACTGCGCATGCTACCCATGCACAATACAGCTACAGGTAGCAGTGGCAGCGCATGCTGCCCATGCACAGTACAGCTACCGGTAGCAGTGGCAGTGCTTGCTGCCCAAGCACCGTACAGCTACCGGTAGCTGTACTGTGCATTGGCCGCATTTTTTGGAGATGACTGTATTCTTCTCCGTGCAAATTTCGAAAAGTTAGCACGTGGCTTTATACATGCAGTCAGAATTTTCTTTTTTTTGGGGGGTATTTCCTTTTAGGGGTACAGTGGGGGGGGGGGGGGGGCTCAAGCCACATTTTTGCGTTCACCGCCTCCCATGTATGTGCAAGGTATTGGTACAGCTACCAATCAATGCAGAATGCACACACTACGCTACTAACTTTGCATGATGGTAGTCGTGGTACTCGTTGGACGGCATGAACGACAGGTGGAAGCCGCAATGTGCGACGGACACGGAGGCCAGCGAGATACAGGCCCACAGCAGCAGCAGCATACAGTGAGAGCCGAGCAGGATGGGACCAGCCAATACCGGCAATATGTTGGAGAGGAAATGCTCGACCGGGTGACCGTACAGACCAGAAATGCTGATCGGCGCGGTCCACTCGTGGTGAACCTTGTGGATGTGTTTATACCACAAGGAAATATGAAGTGCCCTAGAGAAACACAAAGCAAAAGCGAGAAGGAAAGGGAAAGAGAGAGAGAGAGAGAGAGAGAGAGAGAGAGAGGGGGAGAGGGAGGGAGGGAGAATGTGTGTGTGTGTGTGTGTGTGTGTGTGTGTGTGTGTGAGAGAGAGAGAGAGAGAGAGAGAGAGAGAGAGAGAGAGAGAGAGAGAGAGAGAGAGAGAGAGAGAGAGAGAGAGAGAGAGAGAGAGAGAGAGAGAGAGAGAGAGGGAGAGAGAGAGGCTTTCCTACTTCAGATTTTATTTCCGTGAGCGGCAACTCCGAAATACTGATAAAATTCAAATGTGAAATGCAACCCCCACCAGTTCCTTGCAAGGATAGCATTTTTCTCATAATGTAGCGGACATTATGCGTGGAGTGGTAGGCACGAATTGGATTTTGCAACCAACACAGGTCATTTTGTAGTCCACAATCACCATCACTGCATCAGTCCAGTGCCTGCTCCAGCGCCGGGTAATCTGCCCGGTTCGGCGGCGCTTGGACCCGGTTGAAAATATAGTACCAGGTCACCTGTGACCCGGTTGGTACTTTACACTTTCGAACTTTGAAAGGACTGACTGCATGGCTTGTATGTGTCAGATAATTCTTCTTCTTTCGTAATTAATTATTTTCTAATTCCTCTCCTCTTTTTTCTAAATGCGGCTTATCCATTCTCCTTTATATCATTGGGCCTAGTTCCCGTTTATTGTCCGAATTAAAATAAACCAACCAACCAGTTAAAGCATGTGACTCGGCTGGTGAGACAGCGCCAGGTACATGTGTACCCGGCTCCGACCCGGTTGAAATGGTTGCACCAGGTACACGTGTACCCGGCTGTCCTACAATCCTAGAGCAGACACTGCAGTCACATGCCGCGGCCACCCTCCAAACTTCCTCCCGAAATTTAACCCTTTCCCACATTCTTCTTCCGTGTTTGTGAAGATAACCTGAACGAGAGAGCCTGGAAGCTCAGGGCCTTACGCTATGCTTTTTTGCCTTGATGACCTAGACAAAAAAAAGCATAGGGATGTTATAAATTCTTTAAAAAATTCCTTTTTTTTAAGACATAACCTGGGATTCGAACCCGCACTATCGCGCGCCCTGCATGCATCCCCCGATACACTTCGCATACATACTAATTCTTCCAAGTTGTTTCACATTGTGATCTTGCATTTGAAAGCCCTATTTGAATATGCATTGTGGCCAGCCGTCTTTGGTGGCACGGTACGGTAGGGGATAGGTACGGGACAGGTACGATCGAGGGTAATACGACACCGTCTCCCGTACCGTACTGTACCATCAAACACAGCTGGCCACATACAGCTGCCCGCAATATTCAAATAGGGCTTTCAAACGCAAGATAATAACGTAAAGCAACTTGGAAGAATGGGTATGAATGCGAAGTGTATGGGGGAATGCATGTAGGGCGATAGTGCGGGTTCGAATCCCAGGATATGCCTGAAAAAAAAGGAGAATTGAAAAATTTATAACATCCTATGCTTTTTTGCCGTCAGATACGGATAGCGCCAGGCGTGACACAAACAAACACACAAACACCAAATTAAAGCTGTGTGGACCCTGGCTAGCGCCATACGTTACTGAAGTAACGTCTTCTGCATAGCTACGGGAATAAACTACATGTAGATGTGTAGATGTAAAAGTTCCGTGCTTATTTAGACAGTCACACCACTCACTGCATGAATCAACCGTACACGCTGCCCCTTCTCCGTTCTGGACCAGGTCGTTGGTGATAACATGTCTTCCAGCTGGGCATTTGCCACCTGTCCTTGTTTCCACCATCATCACTCATTGCTGGAACGGTTCTGGATACTGAGCGATGATAAACTCGTCAGGCAAGCTGGCCATCATGATGCTGCCTTTGTACGGCTGCCAGGTTAGGTTGGAGATATCGGCCGTTCCCTTCACCAACACCGTCGTTACCAGTTCATTGTTGTAAGCCTCTACTCGTAACGAACACTGTTCTGGCCAGTCACTCACACTCACACGTTCCCGGTATGTTCCAGTCCGCACAGCACAGATGTGATGACTTTGTTGCCAGCCATCTGATCACTCTGGCATCCATGTCCGCAAGCACCGTTGCCATCATCATCGGTAGGTCAGCAAACCTACCTCCAGTTAACCAAGACCATAGCAGACAGCCTCGGAGTTGGTGTTGAACATTCACACACGTCTGGATTTGTTTGAATGGGTTTTCCAAGCTGCCAATCGGTGCTTGGTTTGGCTCATCCCCAGCTAGCCAGTGATCTACTTCGGACTTCGTCGGATCATGACCTGTACTTGCATCCACGATCATCCGAAACTCGCCATCACCAAATGGCCACATCAGCCTTCTTCACCGGTACGCAATGTAAATGGGCGAAACTGAAGCAAGAGCGAGAAAACTTGAAAAGCGAATCAACTACTACCATTGCCATGCCGACCTACCACCAAACGCCTCGATAGGCCGCGATCGATCGTCCTCCAACACCTAGCCCTAGGCTAAGGCTAAGGCTAAGCTAGGCTAAGGCTAGTAGGGGACGGGGCGCATGCGCGACGCTGATACAGAAAGGTCTACATGCAATGCAAGCAGTGGACGCGAAACCGATAGATCATCATTATTTTTCTCGGTGCATTTTCTCTGTCTGACGGTTGCTGCAGTGCTGGTGATTTGTGAGGGTCGTGTAGTTGTGTGCGGTGTTCTCCATTGTTCACTGTGGACAGAACGATTCACGCCAGGCGGCGTGGACAGAGTGCTGCCGGCGCAATGCCGGACAGTGTGCGGTACAACATCAAGTACTTGGTATCCAATCTAGATGTGTCACTGATCTTGGAAGACCTGCTGGAGAATGATGTCCTCGGCGAAGAGGAATACGTTACTGCCTCAGGCAAGGAAAACGAGAAGTGGGATCTTTCCAAGTATGTGGTGAGGCTGATGCTAACGAAAACGGACGAACAGGTGGGTACATTCCTGAATTTGATTCAACACAGCCAGCCTCATGTAGCGGAGCATATTGCCAATACCATGGCGAAGCGACGCGGTGCAACTGCCAGTGAGAAAGCTGACCATCCGACGAAGCCAATGTCGGCAGATCGTGAGTCAACACTTGATTACAGTGGCGTAGGAAGATTGGGGGGGGGGGGGGGGCGGCAGGGGGAGAGGGGGGGGGGGGGGGCGGCAGGGGGAGAGGGGGGGGGGGGGGCTCGTTGAATATTCATGTCACTACTTACTTGTTTGCAAGCGCGCGTGAGTAGCTCACAGATCAACCAGTACTGGCAGTAGTGGCGGTACTGTACATGGCTGGTGATGCACTCACATTGATCATAGTCAGAGCTGACCCTGGCAATACACTACACTGCGAGAGGGTTAAAGGGGAAGTTAAGGCAAAAATTAAAATTTCACCAGTTGTAGTCTTCGGGGTGCTGAGTCGAATGGTCGTGGTCCGAGGAAGCTGAGACGCTCCCTTCCTACTTGAATCCCAATCGAACTCGCGCACTTCCACCGAAACTGGGTGACTGCGCCCTACTAGATGGGCATTTGTATGCAAAATGTCACTAAAAGCGCCATTTCGTTCTTATAAAAGCACGGATGACCGCGATTGGCCCATATGTTGTAGTCTTTTGAACGCTGAGTCGACTGGTTTTGGTCCGAAAAGGCTGCGATGCAGCGTTCCACCTTTATTCCCAATCGAACATGGTTGAACAAGCGGTCACGTGCTGCTGCGTACGCCAGTCACCTGGTCACCGTGCCTGCAGGGTACAACTACTTACTAGCCTGTTTGACCTTTTTTGGGTGCAGTCCTGTCACTCGAGTTGAACCTTGGTGTGAAAGTTGTCGCCTGCTGGCGTGGTGACCAGGTGATTTGGGCACCCAGGAGCACGTGACCGCTTATTCAACCACGTTCGATTGGGAATAAAGGAGGAACGCTGCATCGCAGCCTTTTCGGACCAAAACCAGTCGACTCAGCGTCCTAAAGACTACAACATATGCGCCAATCGCGGTCATCCGTGCTTTTATAAGAACGAAATGGCGCTTTTAGTGACATTTTGCATACAAATCCCCATCTAGTAGGGCGCAGTCACCCAGTTTCGGTGGAAGTGCGCGAGTTCGATTGGGATTCAAGTAGGAAGGGAGCGTCTCAGCTTCCTCGGACCACGACCATTCGACTCAGCACCCCGAAGACTACAACTGGTGAAATTTTATTTTTTGCCTTAACTTCCCCTTTAAGGTAGATAGACTGCAGGCCCACTGGAACCGATCCGCTTGCTCAGGTTATCACCGGACCAACGTTTTGGCCACCAACACATACTTACTGCTGTGGAGGGCATGTTCACCCGCCATGATATCATACACAATGACGGTATGAAAGGCTATGCCACTGCTGGACCAATCAATAACTGCTCCCGGCGGTCCTGCCGGAACAGTCACGGGATTATAACCAGGTCTTTGGCGGCGGTCATAAAATTTGGTAATTTCCATGGTTATACTAAGCACCGAGTTACCAGCCATTATTCAATGACCTCCAAAAGATCTCACTAGGTCCAGATAGTCATCAACACCATTGTGGAAAATCCCCTATCAGTGGAACATAACTTTGTTACTAATTTTAGAGTTCTGGAACAACCACTAGAGATGTTTTGCTGAGCGAACGTTCGCGTAAATTTTAGATTGACGTCGCGAGAAGCAACTTCGCACGAACGTTCGCAGCTGCGAACGAGAAAATTGAAGGAAACGTGAAACAAATTTTCGCAGTAAATTCCGCTGATCACAGACCAGTGACTATTGGTGAACCACCCTCAGGCAATGTTTGGTGCTTCATCTTTCACAATCCAGTAGATACACTCTTGGCTTGGTCCTCCAGTGCTAGCTTTCCCATATGGCAGCCCGTGTTGCTTCATCTCCGGAACCATGTCCGATCTCCTACCCTGGGCGTCTTTTCAGCGTCGATTATATCAATGATTCCTGTTTTCTTGAAGTTCAGGTGTTGATGCGCCGGATTACAGCACAGGCAAACCCGTTTGTCTGTGGGTGTCCGGTCATGGACAACGTAGTCAAAGAGTTCTCGTCGCAGGGCGCTGCCACTTGCAAAAATAAATAATCGGATGTAGACGACTTCTCAAACAAGCGCGAGTACACGTGTACTTTCCTGGAGCGAAAATCATGCAAAATACAAATTTTGCGCAAACGTTCGCAGAAATATTTGCAAGCCAAGACGCGAAAATCCAACCAAAGTTTTGCTCTGCACAACGTCTCTACTAGTAGGAGATAAGCCCGGGATTCTTGTTTGAAATCGGGGCGTTATTCTCAAACATAAACTTATCCCTCTGTCATTGCTCAGTACACAGAACACTACCAGTACTGAGAAATTTTGATTTTATGATCTTTCTATAGGTATTTTAGGGAAACATGTTGGTGATCTATCCCCCCCCCCCCCCCCTATCCGATACAAAACAAACACGACCAGTGACGCTGGCACGTGTCAACCATGTGGAACATTTGGGACTGGGAAAATGGAAGTAACAATTAGTTTGGAAGACCGAGTGGCACTAAGAAGTTCCCAGAACTGGGCAGAAGCCGGCCAGCCACTGCTGTACCAGCACGATGGTCCGTGTCCGCACACAACAAAATTCAATGCACGTGCGTTTGCAGCGCAAGGGAAAGCGAAAGAACCCGACATTCCGATTGTTTTTCAGCCGGGACAAAACCCCGATGTCAACGCGGTCGACTTGGCATTCTTCTACAGCCTGGAGACAGACGTGTGAGTGATGGCGAAGGAAACCAGAAAGGAGCTCAGAAGTTCTGCAGGCTTTGGAAACGTGCTGGCAGGAGAACCCCGCTGCCAAAATAAAACACATTAAATTTGGGTTGTGCCGCTATGGCACCTTCCATGTCGTTCTGGAGAGCGGCGGAGAGAAAAGCTGCGGACAGCGGCACCGTGCAAATCGTCAAGTTCACAGTTCAAGCAAAGAAGTACGATCAAATATTTTCTCGGCATCTTTTAAAGTTTACGGAGCGTGAGCTGTCAGTGTGTCAGCACTGCAGACGGGAGTCGGAAAGGAAGCAGACTCAATGCAGGGAATGAGTTGTCATCGAATTCAGATGAAGGGAGAAGCTGGACCACTTCGAAACAAACTGTGTGACATCTATTAACTACTATCTCTCGTATGCGCATTGTTTTCCCCTCTGCGAAGTGTGTTGTAGCCATAGAATGCTTTTGACAGAACTGCAAAAACATGCAACAAAGTTTCGCTTAACAAAGGAAGTACATCATACATCCCTTTTGAAAGAGTTTCAAAACTTACACTAGGTTTATTCATTCTTTCTGTTTCCTTTGTAGGTATCACCATGACAACAGTTGGCAAACAGAAAACACAGCCATCACAGCACACAGTGGGGGATGGTCAGGCAGACCAACAATGGACGTCCAACAGATGTGAACCAATCTTCAAACAACCAACATCAGCTGAAACAACCGCCAATGCAACTAGAACGGGTACAACATCCAATGCAACATTGACTGCAACACAGGGTTCAACAAGATCAACAACTTCAAGCCAGTCTTCTCTACCGGACAAAGACCGACACTTCACTGGCAGGAATGACATTGTAACAGAGATCAGCGCCAACATTCTCACAACAAAGTCCAAATCATCATCTACACGAGTGCAGAGTCTTATGGCACCAGCTGGTTTTGGTAAGACGTCCGTAGCCATTGCTGTGGGACATGTATGTCGCAATGCTGGTTGTCGTGTGGAGTTCTTTGACTTACGCGGTGTAGCTGGTGTTGACGCTGTCCAGGCAATGATTCAAAACCGACTCGAAACAAATCCTGTTTCAGCTGAAACTACTGGCAAGACAACGAAATCAACTGATGGCATGGATGATGATGGTAGCAAACAACAAATGTTAGTTATTCTGGATAATGCTGAGGATGCTATCCACGCTGGTGCTGATAAAGATTTCCAGCTACAAGATGTTGTGGAACGACTACTTCGACCACAACACAACGTTCATGTCCTACTGACAAGCCGTGTTTACTTTGACCTACACGCTGCCCAGTTTAAACTACAACAACACCGTCTTGATGGTCTGACAACGGTTTGTGCTGTTGGTCTGCTCCATGGTCTATGTGTTGAAGGTAGTGTGAGCATTGAAGATGCACAGAGGTTAGTGGATCGTTGTGGAAATGTTCCACTTGCTGTACGCATTACAGCTGGTCTTCTACAAGGTGGTCGATTAACTCCAATCATGTTGTTGTCGTTATTCCAAGACCTTGGTCTCGATGTGTTCAACAATGATGGTCTGAAACCAAATCATCGAATCCTGAAGCTGTTGGCATTAGCATACAACACATTACAACATGATGACAAGGAATCATTCCATGCTCTCTCTCAACTGCGCTCCTCATTCTCATCTAAATGTGCTTGTGTGATGGTGGGATTGGCTGACACTAAGGCCAATGTGGTTCATCTTGTACGGTTTGATCCTTTGATCAAGATTTGTTTCCTGGATTACAATCCGTATCTGGACCGCTACTCACTTCAACCATTCATCGCCGAGTTTGGTCATTACCAATGCCCTGAAGACAAGCGACATGTGTACCAACGGCGAATGTGCAAGCATTTCCTTGGCTTTGTGAAGGAAGCTGATGACTCTAGAGGTTGTGGTGCAGACAAAGCAGTGTATTGGAGTTCCCAATTGCTTCAGGAAAAAGTGAATATTCAGATGGCGTTGTCTGTTGTTGATGTTTTGTCTGGTGATGACTTGCTTCCTTTCTCTGGATTAACAAAGTCATCGGGTATCCTACTTGCCTTGTTTGGGAGAGCAATGTTTGTTCGAGAGTTTGTGGACAGGATACAAAGATTGGACAAAGCACCGCTATCTGTACAAGCTGACAGCATTTGCACCTCGGTCCTGTGTTGTATTTGCCGTCAAAGCATTGCAGATTCTGATGTCACTTTTGAGAGTTTGGATCCAGAACCCAAATGCTCCTGGAGAAATCTGAACAAGAACCGACAGGAGTGGGGTCACCGCTGAAGCTACCTTTGATGCAACTTGCTCTGGAGTCATGCAGGCTATCCATGTCTCTGGACATCAACTGCAGGGAAGGACAGGTTGAGCCCAGCCAGGAAACACTATCCCGTCTTCAGGTGGTGTACCAGCGTGTTACAACAACACTGGGAATGGGCCTTGCAACAGGTGTCACTGAATGTGCCCTGAAACTCATTCAACTGTATTGTTCCACTCTGCTAAACAAGGATATACCCAATGTACAGGTGGTAGAAGACCTTGCTGAGAGAGTGATGTCATCATACTACCTATCACAGGATGGTGCAGTCCCTTCATGTAGTGGAATGTACGGTTTTCTGCTACAGTGCATTGCTGTGATCCTGGGCAAGGCCATGTCAAGTTCCTGTAGCAGTGAGTGGATTATTTCACCATCATTGGTTACAACACTGGGTATACCACGGTGCAAGTGGAAACATGTACCAAATGCTATCAGGCGCTCGATCAATACCCATGACGACCACACTACTGTGTCTGCTCTTCAGTTACAACGGTACCTGCACTCCATGGATGATGACACAGTAACCACACTACTGGACATGTACTTGAGTGTTATGTACAACGACCAGCACATATCCTTGGTAGTAAATGGAAGGGCACACACAACTCCATTGGGTCTCACTCTACCAGCACAGCATCCCTACAACATTGTGATGGACTATGTCAGGAGATGGTGGCATGGCTCAAATCCAGCAGATCACACAACAGCACTGATTAACAACTGTAGCCAGAACAAGGTACCTGATGTGGAAGTGATGCAGTCTTGTATACTGACGGCTAGAAAACTTTTCAATTTGGAGGTAAGCTGGTAGTGCAGTGTTCACAATTCAGGTTACCATAACTGTTTTTCATCCACACTCCACTCTGAATGGAACATTGTATTGCAAACCAATGTACTCAGTAATTATCTACTGTATAGTGTCTGTCTCTCTAAGGTTGATTTCTTGAAGAACACAGAGGGGACTGTGATAATTTTGAACATTGTCAACTAGTGAAATGGAATGTGTAGCTTTCCGCTATATCAGTCTGATTTGTTATTATTGTGCATGATGTTCTCTGTTTCGAGTGTACTGGCTTCAGTTACTTTCTTTTCTACACTTTTCTTTGTTGTGTGCTTTGCTCTAGAATACTCTCTTCGCGACTGATGTTTGTTTCACACTCTTCCCAGTGTTGAAGTCACTTGTTAAGGATCTCAGTGCTTGCCTGCCAAGCAAGTGTGCAACTGGTCTGTCAGTGCCTGGAATTGTGTACTTACCACCACAAGCTGAAGACGGTTCTCTACTAGACTACTCTCTCATTGCTGCCCTGCGTCGTCAATCCAAGAGAGGCCAAGTGAGCATTTATCACCACATTGCACTACTGGAATGGTGTCCACGTGTAGCAGCATGTTTTGTCTGCTATGACCTGGACAACATCACAGCATGTCCTCGTTGTGGCATGGCTTACCTGTGTGGCAAACATCGTCAAACTGATGAACACCTAAGTGAACACAACCAACACTGTGCTATGCTGGCAGCACTCAGACATCGCACACTACAGTAAGTTAGAGTGTTATCATCAACTCATGTGACAGACTGTGAGTGCTGTGTGATAAACTGGTGTGTTAGTGCCTTGCTAGGTGGATGTGTGTGTGGGGGGTGGAGTGGGTGTGGGGGTTTGGGGGGGGGGGGGGGTGGAGTGGGTGGGTGGGTTTGGGGGGGGGGGGGGTTGGAGGGGAGGTGTGCGAACCAAACCTTTAATCATTCGTAACATCATCACGCCTTATTTTCGAACTGCCTCTCTTTATTTCCCATTCTTGATCTTGTGTTACACTGCAACATATGAGCGTTAGCATGCTATCGCGAGTTAGCAGCCAGCCCAACGAGCTGGCCTGACCTGCGCGCATGCGCGAATCACGTGGGCACGCGCCCTTCAAGATCCTGTACAATGTCTCTTGCATGTCATTGCTGTTTTGACTTTTGAGCGTGCAACTAACTTGTGGAACATGTGTTCCTAAACAAAATTCCTTCCGTGTAGACTTTCGAGCTTGCATTCTCGTATCTCTACGATCCGAATTCAGACTTCAATAACGCTTGTTTGTGCCTGAAACAATGTTGTCGTCTACAGTGGACCGTCGACTGTGGACTTTTAGCTTGCGCCAGCATCAGGTTTCCTGAAGTAACTCCACGCTTCAAATTCCGATCTCAGCGACCCTTGTTTGTACCTTGAAACAATGTCGTCGTCACCTACCGGCATTCAGCCCCTCCGGAGCTCCTCGCTCTACCTGGCTCCGCCGCCCGCCTACTGCGAACGCAGCGATGGCTGCCACGCAGCACCAACACTCACGGCAACAGCAGGCGCGAGCCTCACGATCGTAATTTGTATCCAGAGATCTAGAGAGGTGAGTTCGTGGACTTTGATTTTCTGTTGGAAGTTCAACACGCCGCATCCACTGCCGTCGACAACGCCACCCAGCTTCTCCTCTCTCTACTTGGATCCGTATTGCCGCTCGCCGCCAGCAGGCCGGACCCTACTGGGAGCGCGGTGCAGTGACGACCGCCATGCAGCACCATCAGCAGGTGAACCTGACTGTCCTTCGGGCCCTTCGAGTGAACTGCCGAGAGTCCATCGCAGGACTAGCAGGGGGGGGGGGGGGGTGCGGATATGTGTGTGTGTGTGGGGGGGGGGGGGGGGGGTGCGGATGTGTGTGTGTGGGGGGGGGGGGATGGGGGTTGTATGTGTGTGTATGTGTGTATGTGTGTATGTGTGTATGTGCATGGGGGGCTGTACTTGTATGGTAGTGCTCAGTATTACGTGAACTACCCATGAGTCCATGGCAGGAGGCGGAGGGGGAGGGGGGGGGGGGGTGGTCGCACAAGACCTTTGATTTTCTGTAGGATCCCACACAGTATATTCCTACTGTCCCTCTGTATGACCCATTCTGGGTCCAATGTGACATTGTAACGATGGGTTGATAGAACAGGCGGGAGTCTTTCAGTGTGTGTATGTGGTTGAGAGCACTTGCACCCGTGCGTGTGTGTGTGTGTGTGTGTGTGTGCGCGTGTGTGGCTGCATGTATGGGCACTGGTGTTGGCGATATCTTTTTTGTCGAGCGAATACGCGCTTGCTCACTTCACTGCCTATCTCCCTGGCCAGTTTGTAAGCTGGTCGTATTCATTCAACATAGCCTGCTGCCACTCAAATTGGTCTTGCACTGTGTCAACCTGTGACCAGCTAAACAGACAAGTTCCAATAAAAATGTCGCAATTGCCAGAGTCGATTCAAAAGGCAAAGTCACTTATCCCGTCACAAACCCTCATGCCTCTTCTCGTCTTCGTCTCGCTCAATGAGAAACACATGAACTGCTTGTTTGTATATACTTCGAAGTATGAGGACTAGCGACCCGGAGTCTGTGTGTGTGTGTGTGTGTGTGTGTGTGTGTGTTGGATCCCGGGACGGATACCCTGATGCCATCAATCCTTTTTCTGCGCCTTGTCCTCACCCACTTACTGAGGTGTGGTGAGCCCATAAGTGGGATCATTCTATTTTACTCTCTTTCTCACTCCTGTGTGCAGCCACACCATACATGCTCCCACCCCTAACACACCTCACTCACATACACACGCACATACACACGCACACAGCAACAACAAACAGCCTCTCCGGGGACAGCAGCAACAGCAAGCAAATGTATTGTCAACTCATGGCGACAAAAATGAACAGCTTAAAGCAACTCAACTAGATCATCAAGATTATTGCAGTCTGCAATCTGAGCACACCGGAAATATCCAAACGACTCAACAAGATAACCATTCACTAGGGTGGGCGGGCATGGGCACTACACTTGCAAAGCAAGAAGAAAAAGAGCGCCGCAGCCGGAGCGCATGCTCCTAATATCTCGCATTTGCGAGCAGCAAATGTTACGTCATGCAAAAGAAAGACAAAAATGAACTACATTTCTCGTTTCTTTCCCAGGGCCGTAGCAGGCGGTCCGGCAGGTCCGGCAGCTGCCGGACCAATGTGCGGCAAAAAAAAAAAAAAAAAAAAAAAAAAAAAGGGGGAGCTCACACATATATGTGCGCAGCTCAGGATGTCCACCCATGATGATGTGTGCAATAAGTAGAGGTAGTACATGGTATCAAGTGTATAAACCGGGAGGGTGGGGGTTACATACTCTTGATGTCATGTACATGTACCATGATGTACCATGGCAGGAGGAATTGCATGGCAGGAGGTCACAGCACAGGACAACACCCACGTAGATCTACATGCACAGACTCACTATAAATTACTGGTATACGTGTGACGGTATCTTGTAACATGTATATCACATGCCTTTTCAGTGCATTGTGAACTGCTACTGACTATGTACTACATCTGCTGACGATAATATACTAGTAATTATTATCACTTTTCACCACTGGCTTGTGCCAAATAAGTTAGTTGTGGATGTGCCCACTTCCTGTGCCCACTTCCTGCACTTCTTTGCAAGTAATAGTTGACATGATCGTTACATGTACATGTACATGCCTTGGAGTACTGGATAGTCATGTCTGTGAATGTTCCTACTCTGTACTTCCTGAAATGTATGGATTCTTTTCTCCCCCCCCCCCCAATTCTTTCTAGATCCGCTTTGTACCAAAGATATTCTATTGCAATGTCCTTTCTCCTCCTCCAAAGATCCATTTTGGTACTTGTATCACATGCATTTAGATACTGTTGCTTTGCCTTCATAGGCTTCAATAAGTTCTGTTTGGACGGACACAACATGCTGATGCCCTTTTTCCTGACTCATGCAGAAGATCCTTCTTCCTTTTCTCGCCAAATGTCACTCTGCATGGTCACGATTACATACACATACACGCACAATCATGTACTGTGATGATTTTGTACATGTACCGGCATATGTATGAGTGTGGGCTGGGGGGGGGGGGGGGGGCATCGAGGTCGGATCTTGCCGGACCAACCAAAATGGGGCTGCTACGGGCCTGTTTCCTACGTCAGCCAACGAGAAATGAGGCATTTTCCAAGTGCACCCAGAGTTTTGGGGTTTCAGGGGGCGTCTGCCATTGAGCAGTTCAAATAGCCAATTGATTCCTCTTTCCAAGATTCCTTTTGAGGCTGCGTTAACCCGACAACGCTGGGGGTGAAAACGCAACAAAATCCTTTCGGATGCATGGTTCATTTACACGGTTCGAAAAGCAAAACGTAAAAGTTGTACGCCAAAACGGAAGAAAACCAAAACGCTGGCCAAGGTGGAAGAATTAATTATTTGAAAACGGAAATGTTCTGCCGGATAAATTTGAGTGTGTAAACAATCGAAACGGTATGCTGGCCTCGTTTTCCGCCACGCTTGTTTCGTTTTCGGCCGTTCACACGGATCCGGATATCCGGCAATCCAAAAAATTGTTTTTACAATTTTCGTCATGTGACGAGTGTTGTTTTGTGGCCTGTTTTCAACTATTCCTTGAGTGTGATTGGTGCTTCCACGACAACACTTGGCACATGACGAAACTTTTGCGGATCCTTTGCTCGTGTAGACGCGCGAAAACGATGCAAACGGAGATCACCTCGGATCAGCTTTGATCATGTAAACGCACGAAAACGAAAGAAGAAATGAGGGACTGAAAACGGAAAACTGGCCGTGCGTTGTCGTGTAAACGCAGCCTGAGTCTCTCTCCCTTCTCCCGGGGAGACCCACGTGACCAGTTTTGGCAGTAAGAGTGTTATCATCAACTGACATGGCAGATTGTGAGTGCTGTGTGATGAACTGGTTTGTTAGTGCCTTGTTATCGTGAGAAAATTACTGCTGAGTCTGTGTGTAAACGTTTCTGTGTGGGATGGGGGGGGTGGGGTGTGCCGGTGTGTGTGTGTGTGTGTGGGGGGGGGGGGGGGTGCCGATGTGGGGGAGGAGGGGATAGAGGTGTGTGGGAGGGGGGGGGGGTTGCAGGTATGTCTGTGTGTGTGTTGGGGGGGGGGTGGGGGTGCTGATGTGTGTGTGTGTGTGTGGGGTTGGGGGGGGGGGGGGGGAGTTGAAGGGGAGATGTGCGAACCAAACTTTTGGTCATCCGTAACATGATACTAACATCATCACGCCGTAATTTCGAATTGCCTCTTTGTATTTCCCATTCTTGATCTTGTGTTACCCTGTAATATTGGCTCAATAAGACAGACTTTTAAGTTTTTTGTTTGTTTGTGTGTGTGTGTGTGTTTTTGTGTGTATGTGTGTGTATGTTGAGTGTATGTGTGCGTGTGTGTGTGGTGTGCGTGTGTGTGCGTATGTGTGTGTGTGTGGTGTGTATGTGCACCCTCACGGTTGTACAATCTACAGGACTAGGTGAGCTTCTGAAAACCTCTACTGGATAGTGTTTAGCAGTTGAGATTGGTGAAAGTGACCAGCACTGGACAGGGATCATTTCCAGCAGCTACTGCAGTAAGAGATACTCCAACAGCACACTACCTGTCATTGATCACAACACTATGACATCACTTGTATAGACATGATGTATACAGATTGTCTATGACACACACAGTGTTGTGTTACTATGTA